TACCCCCTCCCTCGGCCACCCCACCAACGACCCTCCTCCCCCCCGAAACTCCTTTTCCCTTCGCCACCGGCCTCCACCCCTACCTCGTTCCCCTCCCCTCCCCTCCCCTCCCCTCCCTCCCTCCCTCCCTCCCTCCCTCCCTCCCTCCCTCCTCCCTTCACTCTGCCAGCCACCCCCGCCTCCTCTCTACCTCGCTGCTAGTGATACAAGAGATGTCGAGACTCGCTCAGCTGGAGCGGCTGCTGAAAGCGCAAGGGCTGGACCTGCTGCATGCCTTCCGAGTGCGGTGGTACGATGACCTGGTGGAGAAAGAGAACCTTCCAGTACGTCTCAAACCTCATCTTCCTCCTTCTCCTGTACCCATCCTATGTACTTCCTTCTCAGTATCCCTTCCTTCTTTCCTCCCTCCTCCTCCCTCTCCCCCTCATCTTCCTCACCCTCGCCCGCCTCTTTCACTCTCTGCCTCCTCTCTCGAGCTACGTCTACCCCCATTCCCCCGTGATCCGCGAGCTCCTGACGCGCTGGTCCTTCTCTTCAGGTCAGGAGGCTGTCTTCTTTCGGTGAGGGCTACAAGGTCGGCATCCTCATCGGCAACTCCAAGAGCTTGTGGACCAGCTTCGTCCGAGCGCTGAAGGAGGACGCCGAGTTGCGAGCAAACAAGGACCCCCTGGATACTTACACTCAGAGTCGAGTGAAGGATGCCGTCGAAGAAGTTTATCACGACCGCAAGGTTCTCCTCCTCCTCTCCTCTTCAATAACCACCATCATCACCACCATCACCATCCCCTGGCCTTTGTCTTTATCCTCTTGGCAGCAGGAGTTGTTCTGGTCATGCGACTACGGGGATCGCCTGGTTGCGATGCAGAGAATCGCAGAGGTAAGGAAGGAGAAGGCAAGAGTTGTAGCTGAGGATAGAGGAGGAGGAGGAGGAGGAACGAGCGACAGGAGCGAAGAGCGAGAGCGAGAAGGAGAAAAGGAGAGCAGAAGGGAGGGAGGGAGGGAGGGGGAGAAGCGCAGAGGGAGGGAGACAGCAATAGGGTAGGAGAGGAAGGGAGGATCGATAGATAGATGGAGGAGAGAACATTGATGCTGAAGCTTCCTGCTGGCAACAGTTGTGCAAAGCAGCGTATCTCGACCACACAAGTCACCTCAGCGTTCATCCCTCCTACGGCAGCTGGATCGCATGGAGAGCAGTGATGCCCTGCTGCTGAGCAGAAACGTGCTGATGCAGGACGAGCCAGGTTGTGCTGCTGGAGGGGGTTGAGTCAGAGTTCGATGACTTGCCGGCTGCTCCTCCTCCTCCACTCCCGTGCCCTGTGAGCATGGAGGAGCTCGCCGCAGCCAAGGAAGCGATCGATGTGCGTGCAGGTGCTCTGATTCAGGAGCTCCCGTTGACGTACATGTACAGAGTGCTCTCAGCATGTCAGATCAGACGAAGCTGCGCGAAGAGCTGCATGGCGAGTCGAAAGATGAAACCAGCGCGTCATGGAGGTTGTGACACGGAAACGAGGAGGAGGAGGAGGAGGAGGAGGATGGTGCTGGTGATGATGATGGAGATGACGATGGAGATGACGATGGAGATGACGATGATGATGGAGATGAAGGTGAAGATGACGATGACGATACTCATCAGGCACTGGTTACGAGTGAGGGAGACTGTCAAACTTGGACAAGAGTGAGTGTGATGATGATCAGAGTGACTTGGTTGAAATCAAAGTGCCTGACTCTCTTCGACGTCAGGTTTCGATACTCCGACGATCAGGCCGAGTGAGGCATGTGAATTCTTGCTTCTCTCCCTAACTGTGCATAGGTATCATTACACCAAGAATCGTCTCGTGCTTGAGAGGGCCATTGGCGGGTTGGACTAGAAGCGTTCAAGATCGAGGCGGACAACAACACTATAGGTATCTCTTTGAAGGTTTCATGTCTTATGGAACGTTGGTAGAGATCATTTCTCTGCTTCTAATAAAACGAAAGTATTGACATCAAATCATACACAAATCAACAGTAAAAAAGCAAGAATGAGAGTAGTCCTAGCAAGAGAAGTCGGCATTGGTATGTGAACAAGCGTAAGTGGAGATGACAGATGATTCCAATAGTAAACAGTGATCTTGCTGTCACTGGTGCTTGAAGTCTGTAAACGTGTCTCCCCAGCTTGATGCGCATGTCTAAGGTTTGCCTATCTGCGGGAGATTGATTTTCTGCCAAGATGTCACATTAATGATAACAATCGATGATGTCTTGCCTCTTCATAAGACCAGGACTCAGCTCCGAATTCTTAGAGAATCTGCAACGATGCGGATCAATGGCAGGAGTAAAAAGAGTGATCAACCTTGAAATCCAAAGTTTTGCGTCTTGCTCACTGTTTGCAACAAAGAAATATTTCTGCTGCTTAACAAGGTGTTTGCTTGAGCCGCTTGTCGGAGCACTGTCGTTTGTCTTGTCGATGTTGATGATGAAAGTCTTCGGATCTTTGTTCAGCTCCAACTTCATCTGATTCAGCGGCTTCTCAAGGAGCAACCGGGAAAAATCGACTCCCCCAGATATATGAACTCTCTTCTCGGAGATTTCGCACAGCACCTTTGCAAAAGACAAACAATCAGCACAGAGATCATCACTAGCTTTCCCATGTTACATCTTGTGCCTTGTGAGATGGAGAGTCGACACTCATCTTGAGTAGTCCCTTCATCACGGATTGGTTCGTTTGAAGTCCTTTGATGGTGGCAAGGATCCTGTTCTTGGCGGTTCTGTTCGGTTTCAAGATTTGTTTCACATCGTCGGTTCTCGAAGACGATGAATCTCCTGCTGATTTGCGAGAGAAGCTTCCAAGTTTCCCTGCTAGCGACTGGATCATACTCCATCTCGACTTCTTCTGGTCCTTGAAAGCATCGACGTCGTGGTCCTCCTTGTGGAAGACGTCTGAGATGTTGGTATCCATGTACTCCCTTGCAATGTTCTCCTCCATATCTCGCATGCCGTGCTCGTTGAACCTCAGGCTAAGATCATCTTTGATCGTCTCCTCGCGGATCATCGTGTCATCTACAATGCAAGGCTTCACGGGGGTCACTGGGCCCAGGCTCCACGTCTTCCTTGGTCTCGCTTCATCTTTCTCGAAGGACCGCGCTAAGTTCTTGATGGTCTCCTTGTCCACCAGCCCCAGACCCTCCAGCATCTTTGTATCCCATCCTGCACTCTCCAGCCTGCTCTGAGCGTTCTGAAACAAGGCCCTCTCCTTTCCCCGTAGAATCGGCTTCCTGGCTGCCTCCCTCTGTTTGCTGTCCTCCAGCAAGGTGGAGGTGTCTGGCAGACTGGCTCTGAAGGCGAAGAGCTTGTTCAGAGCCATAGGATCCAGCGACACAGACCTCTCTCTACGGAATTCCATCCTGCAAACAAACCATCAATCGGTTCGAGCACAAACAGAATCATCTCCACGATCAAGCAAGCCACTCCTCCATGACAAGCATATCAGCATAGTGAACCTAGCAGCGGCAACAAGGAAGCTATTTCTTCGAAGATCTGTCTTGCTGCACAGCTGCATCACTCAACTCATCACCGGAGAGGCAAGCGATCATTCTTCACTTTCTAATGCTTAACCTTGCTTGTTCCTGCGCAACCATCACCATCTTCAGTTATCTCTCAGCTACTTTTTCAAAAATATGAGGTTGATTCTCTTCTGCTCTGACTCGGCGAATAGCATCTATAATTGACCGACTTGATCCACAAACTACATGATTCAACTACTCCCCTACACAACAAACTTCTTCATGGGTGAAATCATTTCAAACACTTGGTATCATCTATCAGAGGCATCGAACTCTTCGCAAAACTCTTGACAAACCTCTCACAACCCTATCAGTACTCACATCTCCTTAAAAAAATGCGAAAAAAAACACACAAGACTGAAAAAAATTGAAAGCCGCTGGTATCTCCCCCGATCCTTCCAGCCCCCGGTCGTAACCCCCACCCCTGGTCTGTACAGCAAAAGGCCTTTCAACCCCACCAACCTTTCTCCTGTAACCTACCGGTAGTACCCACCCACCCACCAATTCGGACGAAAAGATAACTGGAGTGACTGGCCTCCAATCATCTGCCACCCCTCTGTTGGACTCTTTTTACCCACCCCTTTCACCATGAGGCTGTGTGGTAAGACCTCAAAAAACACCCTGGCTGAGTAGTGACCCCTATAAAAAGTCCAGGGAGTCTGACTGGTATCAAATACTTAACCCCTACCCCCTCTGAATCTGTAACAACCAGGGGTAGAATGTTCACCTGCAGTCACCATCACCGGTACCTCTAAGAGGCCTTTAGTGGCTATAACTCTTTTTATTTTCACTCATCACTCACAGTAGTATCACGGTACTACCGCTGTGACCCTCCCGTTGCCCGACCGTGGCAGTCACGCGGGCCCGCGGGGCCCCGACTGTCGGAACGGACTTTAGCGGCTGAGTCACTCGAGTTCAGTTTCAATCGTTTACTCAACTTGCCGGTCACTGCCGCCGGGTTGGGGGACAGCAGTTGACGGTAGGATTATCAGGCTCCCGGCCTGATCGCTGTTTGTTGGCGAACAAGCCTGGGAACGCCGCAGCGCTGGATGGTCTCTCTGCCGCAGTGCCTCGCAAGACGTCTCAGGTGATCCGACTTGCGCCAAACGCATCATGTCCGGTCCAGGATCTTTCGTCAGCTCAAGGCCTCCCTCAGTCCTACGCTGCCATCATCGCCGCGGGCCCGTTGCATCCCGGTATGCGTACGGTCTCATTTCCTTCGGCAGCGGCCACGGTGACCGCGACATCCCGGCCCGGGCCGGCGGCCGGGCGATCATGATCGCCGCGGCGGCTGGCATGGCCGCGCGGGGGATCTGACTTGTCCTGCGCGCAGTTAAGTGAAGGTATCAGTTAAGTTTGGGGGGCAGCAGTCGGCAGGATTGGGTTTGGTTCTCGCTGTCTTTTCTCTTCTCGCCGTTTGGCCTGTGCGACAGTGTCAGGGTCAAGCCTCTTCGACGCTCGAGTAAAGGATCATTGTCCTCGTACTGATTTTTAACTTAACTTTGAGTAAAGACGGCCGCTGAGAGTCAGCTCGAGGCCGGCCCCGGGGCCTCAGTTTCTCAGTGTCCTTCCCTGCAGGGCCGGCGGGCCGCCGGGGCGGGCCCCGGGCCGGGCGCCGGGCTACCGTACGGTGTGTGACCCGGCGGTCCGACACACTGTAAAACTCCGATAAAAAAAAGAAAAATAAATCGGAGGGAAGGGTGTGTGGTTTTAATGGCGGGAAGCAGGAAACGGTGAAGGGCATGCGGACCTGAGGCAGGCCGAGGTTGCTGTCCTGTCTTTCTCTACCTCCTAGCACAAGTTGAGAAGTTCCCTCTACATGTGAATCTCCTGGATCTCAGGCTTTGGAGGAGCACGATTCTCGATCCCAGGGTCGTCCTGTCGTTTTGCCTGTGCTGGTTGGCCAGCGCGTTCAGCGCCGTTACGTCGCCAGCTCAGGTCTCAGTGAAGATGGAGGAGGAGACGATTTACCTCAGAAACTTTCAGAAGGCACTTTCCACGGTTGATGATGGGAAGCAGGAGTATTCAGACCTCTTCGACCACCACGAGAAAACTCTTTGCGAACAGTTCTTGCGGGGCAATGGAACATACAGTATGAGCATGCAAGCGAGAGGGGTGTACACGCGGATGTTCCAACGGAAAGGCCCATGGTTTCGACTTGAATCCATCATGCACTACCCGGAGCTTCTTTGCGATAGGGCAGAGGAGCTCGATGACAAGGAGAAGTGGGTCAGGACTGAGCGGGCCATCCGAGCATTGGAGCAGTTTGGCTTCGTCTCCTATGTTGGATCAAGGGCTTCGTGCGAGAAAGCTAAGGTACGTGAGGAAGCTTGTTGGCAGCGAGTTGAGTCAGATCCCCCCAGATGGTTGAAGCGATGCGGACTTGTTTGAAGCTCCCTGAAGTGAAGCAGATGCTGCAGAAGCTTACAAGAGGACAGGTGCTGCGACCGCCTCTTGCCCTCGTGCCAATGTCATGCTGCTCTGACGTTGTCGAATCCTCCAACAGACGAACTCGCTGACGAAAGGAGAAGCCCTGATGAGCTTGGAGAAGGTTCGGCTAGTTTCGAAGCATATGTTTGTTGACAGTCAGGGTTTCATCAGGCCATCATGGGACAGAAGACCATTCTTGATTTCTGGTCCAAGAGGAAAGAGAAGGACGATGATAGTCTGCCGTCCAACTCACCAGTCTGGATGGAGCTCGAGAGGATGTTGATTCCGACAAGTGTCCACGAAGGCGGCGATGTGTCAAACTCCAAACCTCGGATACTGTTCGTGCGACTAGAGAACGGCCCTGTCAAGCTTTTCAAAAGGATTCTGCGGCTCATGCATATCACGTCGATCTTCTCTGTCGAGCACTACACATCCTACAACCGGCCGGTTTTGAACCCTGCCGTCCTGACTGAGTTTGGAAAGATGAAATATGCCGGTACGCCCTGCTGTTTCCCGTTGAAACCCTCTCATGTTGTGTTGCTCCAGACTACAAGTGTTCGTCGACTTGCCGTATATTCCGAACAAGACAAGAGTTCCTGCAGGCATGACGCGACCGGGATGGTCGTGATCAAGAGGGCGGGTGCTGACACGTTGGTGTCAGTGGGAGGCAGCGGTCGAGCTACGAACGATGGCGGAGAATTTGATCATGAATCCAGGTGAAGGAAAAGATGGTCTGTGTGAAAGAAAAGATGTTCTGCGTGAAAAAAGATGTTCTGTTTAGATGAGTTGGTGGTTCAGACATGATTGTGTAGAGGAATCACGATGAAGAGAGATGGGACCTGATCTTGAGACATGATGGAACTATAGCGACTGATGAAGTCTGAAGAGAAGGAATGCAGTGTTGTCATTCTGCATTGTTGCAATGCTGTCATGTTGTTATGACACGCTCTTCATAGATCAGCTGGAGTCGAGCCCGAGTGAAGGAGGCAGGGGAGGCAGAGCTCGCAGCCAGAGGCAAACAGAGCTCATCGACCTGACTAGTGACGAGACGATCGTCGTCCCCTGCTCCTCCTCGACGTGGGAGGGAGCGGAGGGAGACAGGGAACATCCGCTCCTGCTGGCCTGCAGGGATGCAATCAAACAGGCGCAGCGAGCCTTTGGGAGGAAGGAGGAGGATGATGTGGAGGAAGAGGAACGGAAGGGTCAGCCTGCTGCTCTGGATTGTAAGGAGATGGTGATCGAGATCGCGGAGAGGGCAGGGCGGATCCTGTCAGGCTACCTGAAGACATCGGGGAAGTTTCGATTCCTGAATGTCAGCCACGTCGACTGTACCGCTCGCTGTCGATGCGACGAGCGGCAGTGGCAAGAGGAGACGGAGGACGAGGACGTGAGGTCGTACCTGCTGCAGTTTGATGCCGGTTGGCACCTGAGCCAGACCAGCTGGTGAGAGACTCGTTCTGATCCTCCTTCCCCTCGCCCTTGTCGTCCTCATCATCCTCGTCCTCGTCCTCATCCTCCTCGTCCTCGTCCTTCACCACCACCATCACCACTACCACCACCTCGTCCTCGTCCTCTCCCTCGTCCTCGTCCTCCTCGTCCTCCTCCTTGCCTCATTCTTTGAGCTCTCCCTCTCCACTCCTCCATCTCGTCTCCCCGCCCCTGCTCTTCCCTCCTCGTAGTCTCATCGATTCTCTCCTGCCCTCAGGGTTGGTGTTGACCTTCTGGAGCGAGCAAGAAGATACGAGGAGAGTGTCGGGCTCCTGGAGCTGATCGTCTCCTCTCCCTTCCTCCATCACAGGTGGGTCCAGCGAGTCTTTGCTTTCCTTTACTCGCATGCAGGAGGGGGAGGATCTACAACCGCCTTGCGCTGGACCTGCAGGTGGGCAATGAGAGCAAAAGGAGGAGGAGGGAGCAAGAGGGGCTGGAGAAATAGAAGGAGGAGGAGGCAGGAGCAGCAGGAGCAGCAGGAGGAGGAGGCAGGGGCAGGGGCAGGGGCAGGGGCAGGAGCAGGAACAGGAACAGGAACAGGAGCAGGAGCAGGAGCAGGAGCAGGAGCAGGAGCAGGAGCAGGATGGACAGGAGGGGCAGGGGAGAAGTGGAGGATGCGGCAGGAGAGGCCTCTGATTCCCCTTGCAGCATCTTGGTAAACTTGATTGTGCGATGAGGGTGTGCGAGGAGGCAATCAGAGACTTTGCCGTAGCAGGAGGCGACCGACTTTGGTGAGGAGATCTGTCTGTTCCTTGCGATGCTCCTCTTTGCTACTCCTCGATTGTAACTCCCCATGTCACGCTCCATTTTCGTCCTCCATCCTTTTCGTTCTCGTCCTCCTCGTCCTCCTCGTCCTCCTCGTCCTCCTCGTCCTCCTCGTCCTCCTCGTCCTCCTCGTCCTCCTCGTCCTCCTCGTCCTCCTCGTCCTCGTCCTCCTCGTCCTCATCATTCTCCTCGTCCTCCTCGTCCTCCTCGTCCTCGTCCTCCTCGTCATCTTCGTCCTCATCATTCTCCTCGTCCTCCTCGTCCTCGTCCTCCTCGTCCTCCTCGTCCTCCTCGTCCTCATCATTCTCCTCGTCCTCCTCGTCCTCCTCGTCCTCGTCCTCCTCTTCGTTCTCCATCCATCCCTTTGCTTACCTCGCTTGCAACTCTCTGCCTCTGAAGCTTTATCCCAGCATCGAGCAGAGGAGGGAAAGGCTTGTCAAGGCGGCCAACAAGACTCCCAAGACACAGAGGAAAAAACAACTGCGCAGCAAGAGGTCGAGCAAGTCCATCCGCACTATCTCCTCCTGCCTCCTTGCTCTGACCCTCCTCCTGTCTCAGCGAGCATTCGCCTTCTTCCCCGGGAGATGCTGACGAGGAGGATTTTGCTGCTGGCAAAGAATGTGTGAAGCATATATCCAGCTTCCGTGCAGGTGAACAACTTTTCTCCTGCTGCTCCTCCTCGTCGTCGTCGTCCTCCTCTTCGTCGTCGTCGTCGCCCTCCTTCTCTCCCTTCTTCCCTCTCCTTCCTTCTCTCCCTTTTTCTCTCTCCCTCCTCCTTTTTCTCCTTTTCCTCCTGCACCACCCTGCTCCTCTTGTATCCCTGCTCCTCCATCCTCCTGCTCCTCCTCTCCTGCCCATCCGACCTCACTGACGGCACGGCAGAGGAAGAGCTTGAGCCGGAAGAGGAGGAGCATCTCAGTGTGCTCTTGTCTCAGGTCATCGACGAGCAGCAGCAGGAGGCCCCGCCTCCAATCCCCGAGGATGTGATCTGTGCGAAGAGGCTCGGGAACAAGACCATGGGGAGGAAGAGCATGTTTGCTGGGCTCGAGCTCAGCCAGGGGTGGGATGGGGGAGGGGTCTTGCATCCTCCCTCGCACGCTTCCTTCTGCGGGGTGGAGGAGCTGGCCATGCAGCATTACGAGCAGGAGGAGAGAGGGCGGTGGAAGGGGATACACTGTGAAGGCTCTCCCCTCCGCTTCCTCTTCTCCCTCCTGTTCTGGGACGTGATCTTTTCCTCCGACGTCCCGGATGCCTTCCTCACTCCCTTCCAGGACGCACCCATCGACCTGGACTTCCATCCGTTCTTCTACAAGAGGAGGGAAGCGTTGATCCTTGCTCGCATCGCAGACCTCGAGCTCTGGAGCGACCAGCAGCTGCTCCTGGAGCTGCGCGAACGCTGGCAGCAGAGCTTCGGGACGCTGTGCAGAGGAGCGAGCTGGGGCTCCTGCAGCCTCTCCTTCCTCCAGCTCGTCGCTCTGTGCCTGGGAGGGAGGAGAATCAGCGCGATATGCCGCGCCCTCTGCATCAACTACCGTCACTTCTCCGGGGGGATGCCGGACCTTGTGCTGCTGCGGGGGAGGAGGCGGCAGCGAGGAGGAGAGGGAGGAGGAGGAGGAGGAGAGTGGGAGGATTTGTGTCTCGACGAGCTGGTCGGAGGAGGTGGAGTAGCTGGTAGAGGACTGGAGGTGGAGAAGGAGGAGGAGGAGGAGGGGGGAAGGAGGAGGAGGAGGAAGCGAGGAAGGAACTGGGGTGGGCGAGCTGAGGAAGGGGAAGATGACGGGGGGAAGGGAGGGGAAGGAGGAAGGGAGGAGGAAAAGCAGGGGAGGGATCTGGCTGAAGATTTGGACTTCCAAAAGTTCGAGTTCAAGTTTGAGGCGATGTTGGTCGAGGTAAGAACTTTCCATCCAGCTAATCTTACCGTCTCTATCGCTATCCCTCATCTTGATGATTCTTCCTCTTCTTCTCCGCCTCTTTCTACTCCCCCCCCTCCATCATCATCATCATCATCATCACCACCACCACCACCACCATCATCATCATCATCATGATGATGATCACCATCACCATCACCATCACCATCACCATCATCATCATCATCATCATCATCATTTCCCGCATGTTGAGTTCTTTCAGACTTCAGAACTTCTCCTCCTCTCCTCTTACGCACCCGCAGGTCAAGGGCCCCAACGATCGTCTCATGCATCGTCAGCTCGCATGGCTCCGCATCCTTCAGCATGGCGGCATTGACGCGCGAGTTTGCCGGGTGGTGGAGAAGGAGAAGGAGAAGGAGAAGGAGAAGGAGAAGGAGAAGGAGAAGGAGGACGTGGAAAGGGGGAGCAAGAAACTGAAGATCGAAGAGAAGGGCAGGGAGGAGGAGGGGGCGGAGGGCAGGGAGGAGGAAGAGGAGAACAGAGAGGAGATAAGGTTGAGGGTCAAGGAAGAATCAGCTCGCATGAGGGCTGAAGACGATCAGCAGGAGAGAGAACGGCAGGAGAAGTCAGCGGAGGAGGAAGGGGAAAGGAGTGTTAGGAGGAGGAGAAACCTGTCGCTGCGGAGAGGACGAGGATAATTTCCCATGCTGGTTTATGTACAATGAAAAACATTATGCCGGGCTGCTTCCTCCCTTAGCTTCCAACCTCTGCGGCAGCGAATAATGTGAGAAAGTGGTAGGGAGGGAGGGAGGGAGGGAGGGAGGGAGGGAGGGAGGGAGGGA